AACATCACCATTATAAAATGTTAATGGATATGGAAAGCAATTCTGGAACAAATCTACCAGTCTGTAACATGGAAAGTATCTTACATAAGGCATATATAGGGGGAAGTGTCACTAGATTATAGCTTCTCACAATTCTCTGTGATGGAAAAGGTGTATATTGTAAAACTCAGCAACTCTGGAATGCAATCATGTGCCCATAATTTTCTCTGGGTTCTCCATAAAAACAGAGTAAAGAAAGGAAAAAGGTTCAGAAATAATAACTAGTGAGGAAGCATTATGGAGCAGAGTTTCAAAAATGACCTTCTCACTTTAGGTGCTAACTGTTTTTGCCCTTCTTGTTTTATTAAAACAAATCAATAGTGCAATTCTATGCGTATTTACTCAGAGAAGCCTTGATGAAAGGTTAAAAAATTGCAGTTTGACTCACTTAAAAAGGGTCTTATATGGGTATATGGGTTATTTAACAGGTCAAATCCACTGATCATCTTTTAACGATGTCTTCTGTTCTACTCTCCATTTTACCCCAACCTACCAAAAATTGTGCAGGTGATTGCAATTGTGATGGATCAATTCACAGATATGGAAATACTCAGTGATCTGATAGAAGCTTCAAACAAACGTCTTGTTCCTGTTTATCTGATCCTGGATGAAAAAAACTTGAAGGAGTTTACAGAAATGTGCAATAAAATGGAGGTCATCATGGATGACCTTTTGGTATGTTTTCAATCAGTTTTCATTTTTCTTTTACTTAATGTCAATATTAAAATATGATGTGATGGAACATGAAAGTGAAAAAAGACATTTTTAAATATGCTTTTATTTCAATCATTTTCACCATCACTCAGATGAACATGGGTTGGTTTGTTCATCTAAAGCCAATAATTGAAATCCAAAGACAACAACAACAAAAACAACAACAATAGCAGTATAAGGTCTTCCTTCCTTCCTAGGTTTCTTGATAGAGTATTGACTGTTTGGGGATCTGTAATGATTCTCTTACCAAACATCAGTTCCAGGATGTTTTCTGAAGCATATTTACCCCTTTTCTGTTATGTGGTATGACATCAGTAATACACCTTTATTGAATGATTGTTGAATTATAATCCATTTTCCATGTGAAACAACATAGCTGAAGCATAAGGTGCAATTGGATGGTGCAGGTAAACATTTTAAGTATCTCCTTTCAAAAAATTATGTGCTGATATATATCATATGCCCAACCTTTGCCTTTCACATACACGTTGAACAAACAAAGCCCAGAGCAAAACAGTGCCTGAAGTTAATATATGAACCTTATTTACTGAAGGAAAGCAATCAGCAATCACAGATACCTGTACTTTTAGCCTTGTCTTCAGTATAAAGGAGATGAAAAGTACATTGCTTTCATCCAATTATTTTAAATGATCGGCTGAGGCAAAATTAAAGATAGCACAGAGTCACATTTGCTTAAATCAAGGCTTGCCACCTTTAAATGTTACAAATGGAGTGAAGTTTACTTCTGATGCTCAACAAAATTGAGAGAAAGATGCCCTGGGCACGAGACTGTATTCAATCAGCCCAGGAGGATCTACAGGTGTATGTTGTGTGTGTGTGTGTGTGTGTGTGTGTGTGTTAAAACAGTCAAAATAGCTGTCACTTCCATTTACCCTTTCTACTCTAGTTGCTGTTGTTTGCTGTTTCTGTTTAAAAAGGCAAGAGAATGTGTGTGCATTAACATTATTTATATCTGAGAGTGAAAATGATTGGCATATGCAAACGGAAGATCAATTAATTTTGTTATTAGGGGACCACATTTTACAAACAATTTTAATCAAGTATGGTTGTTTTACACACAAAAAAACACACACACACACACATACAGAGCTCTCATACATATGTTTGCAGGGGAAAAGGAATATCTGGGATTGTTTTTCTGGAGCATAGACCTAGGGTGGGAAGCGAAGTGTTACTTCAGATTAGGATTTATGCCGCATATTTGTTCAGCCTGTTTTTGGTTGAGCAAGAGTTATGTTTAATTCAGGGATATCTTCCTCTTGGCTAACTATGGCATTTTCAATGTGAGTATAAGCCTAACTACTAACTACACAAGAAGTCCTTGACTTACAACAGTTCATTTAGTGACCGTTCCAAGTTACAATGGCACTGCAAAAAGTGACCTATGACCATTTTTCACACTTATGACCATTGCAGCATCCCCATGGTCACGTGATGAAAGTTCAGACATTTGGCAACTGACTCATATTTGTGACGGTTGCAGTGCACATGGGATTATGTGATCAACTTTTGCGACCTTCTGATAAGCAAAGTCAATGGGGAAGCCAGATTCACTTAACCACTGTTTTATTAATTTAACTGCAATGATTCACTTAACAACTGTGGCAAGAAAGATCATAAAAATGGGGAAAAACTCATTTAACAATTTTCTCACTTAGTAACATAAATTTTGGGCTCAATTATGGTCGTAATTCAAGGACTACCTGAACTCTATTCTGCAGGAGTATCCTATTCCATCACCCCAACCCCCACCATATGGAACTTACTGTCATTTTGTCTGTTATCAGTAAATGTATAGTAATTTCCCATTCTTCTAGAGCAACTACAGCTTTCAAATATTGAACTAAGGGCTGGAAATTACTGAAATGATACCGGTTTCTAATTTTTCACCATCAGAGACTGAGCAGTCTACTACTATGTGCCCACCCACATATTGCTTAGTGCTTTCCAAGTACCCTATATGCTACCTAATTTCATTTTTATGATTTTTTAAATTAAAAATAATGGGGAAGCACACATGCTGCAAAGTGAAGTACCATCTTGAGCATAACCTAAATTTCCAATAACATATCTAAGGGTCTCCTCAGCCCCCTCAACTTTCTTAGGAAATAAAATCAGATGGTGCTCAGTTTTCCTTCTGATAGATCAGTGGTTCTCAACCTTTTTAATGCCACGACCCCCAACCGGTCGTAAGTCGAGGACTAAACCGGTCGTAAGTCGAGGACTAAACCGGTCGTAAGTCGAGGACTACCCAACCAGTCATAAGTCGAGGACTTTCCCTGCCCGGGAGCGCCGCGCATGCGTGGTTCCGCCCCCTGCACCAGCCGAGGCGTAGCTGGCAAGCGGCAGAGACGGAGCAGGCTGACCACCAGCTGGCCCAGCTCAAGGGAGGTAAGGCACCCGCCGGAAAAGGGGAAAAAAATGGCGGACAGCCTTGCTTGGTGACCCCTGTGAAATGGTCGATCGACCCCAAATGGGGTCGCGACCCATAGGTTGAGAACCGCTGTGATAGATGGACATTTTGTGATTAGCTGCATCAATCTTAACAACCATTTTGTGAGAGAGACCATTTTAATCTTTCTTATGCTTTTCTTATTATTTTAGAATATACGCATACGATCTGTAAGTGGAGATACATACTATAGTAAAGCTGGCAAGAAGCTTACAGGACAAGCCCTTGAGAAATTTGTGTTGATAGACTGTGAACAAGTACTTGCAGGGACTTACAGGTGAGACATTACAAGTATACTTCAGAATGATGTCATTTGCAAAAGGCATTTGTTTGTCTAGAGATTTCTGGGACTAATATGTCCTAATTCAGAGTGATTGCAGGGTATGGTTAAAAAAAAAAAAAAACCAAGACGCCAGAGTTTTTATTGCACTGTTGCAGCTAGCAACTTGATTTTTTCAACGATGCCTTTCAGACACCAGATTAAACGAATGTAGCAAATTATTTAAATTATATTTATTTAAAATTATAGTGCTTTGTATCCTTCTTATGGGTCAGGTGTCTAAGACTGTTCTAGTGCTTCTCAAAACTGTGTCTTCCATTTTAGTTCCTTTAGAAAGGAAAGAAAATTTGCAAATGGTGAATATGCTATTTCTAAATGTACAAAAAATGATATCAAAACATATACAAAACAAGTTCAATTCTTTTAAACAATTTTTTAAAAATGTGTCTCCTTTAACAGTTTGGGAATCCAGTTTTAAAAATACATTCTAACTCTACCCCAGCCACATCATCTAATATTTTTCAGAGATTCTGAATTTTCATAATTTTCTAGTCAACTGAAGGTTGTAGAAGCGGAAATCTCAACAGTTGGAAAAATATGCTTAGGGAAAAGTATTCTAGGATAAAAACCTATTAAGTGCTATGGCATTTGCTCCCAAGAAACAAGCACGAGTGCATTATAGCATTGCTATTAACAACAACAACAACAACAACAACAACAACAACAACAACAACAACAATAATAATAATAATAATAATAATAATAATAATAATAATAATAATAATAATAATAATGTTGGAAGGGACCTAGTTGGAGGTCATCTAGTCCAACCCCCTGCTCAGGCAGGAAACCCTATACCATTTCAGACAAATGGCTGTTCAGTCTCTTCTTAAAAACTTCCAGTGTTGGAGCATTCACCACTTCTGGAGGCAGGTTGTTCCACTGGTTAATTGTTCTAACTGTCAGAAAGTTTCTCCTTAATTCTAGGTTGCTTCTCTCCTTGATTAGTTTCCATCTGTTGATTCTTGTCCTGCCTTCAGGCGCCTTGGAAAATAGCTTGACTCCCTCTTCTTTGTGGCAGCCCCTGAGATATTGAAACACTGCTATCATGTCCCCCCTCGTCCTTCTCTTCATTAGACTAGACATACCCAATTCCAGCAGTCTTTCCTTATATGTTTTAGCCTCCAGTCCCCTAATCATCTTTGTTGCTCTGTTCTGTACTCTTTCTAGAGTCTCAACATCTTTTTTACATCGTGGTGACCAAAACTGGGTGCAGTATTCCAAGTGTGGCCTTACCAAGGCATTGTAAAGTGGTATTAATACCACTTCATGTGATCTTGATTCTATCCCACTGTTAATGCAGCCCAGCACTGTGTTGGCCTTTTTGGCAGCTGCAGCACACTGCTGGTTCATATTTAAGTGATTGTCCACTAGGACTCCGAGGTCCCTCTCACAGTTACTACTATTTCAAAATTTGGATTGCTAACAAAGAATTAAGGGAGAACTGGAATAGCCATTTCGAAATTTTTAGTTCTTTTCAACCAGACATACCCTTCTGAGATTCGAACCTGGGCTGTCTGCATGTTAGGCAGATGTATTAACCTCTAGGCCACAGGCTCTTTCTCGCTATTTGGGCCGACAGGTGCACCAAACTCAAGATAATATATAGATAAGGCAGATGGGGTGGAGTTGAAGGGAAGGTGAGCATAATAGGGCAGGAGAAGCTTGATGTCCTGGCCTAATAAAGACAATCAGGAGTACTCCTGATTGTCTTTATTAGTACTCCTGATTGTCTTTATTAGGCCAGGACATCAAGCTTCTCCTCCCCTATTATGCTCACCTTCCCTTCAACTCCACCCCATCTGCCTATCTTCTCCCCTCTCTGTTCTTTTGGCTGCCCTGCACCCTGCCTTCACCCATAACACCCTGTACTCCATTGTTCTTGCTACCCTCAGCTGACCTTGGCTATCTTCTTCCTCCCAGTACTGATGAGGTACGCCTGGTCTGGCCCTTTGTGAGACAGCTGCTGGCTTCCCAAAGCTATATGTGACCTTCCTGGAGGCCTCAAGAAGGCTGTGTGTGACCAACTGCTGCCTCACAAAGGGTCAGGTTGGGCATGCTTCGTCAGCAGTAGGAGGAAGAAGTGAAAATCTGCTGGGGTGGCAGAGGCAGTGGAGTGCAGGACAGTCAAAAAGCAGAGATGGTGAGGAGTGATAGATGTGTGGGTAGAGTTGAAAAGTACCCTGTGATAAATAAAGGTGGGCTGCCAAGACTTCCGATCATGTGACCGCAGGAGTGCGGCAATGGCATTAAGGACCAGTTATAATTACTGTTCATTCAGGATCATCACAAATTCAAGCAGTCACTGAAGAAATGGTTGTTGTGAGGACTACCTGTACACAACTTCCTATCTTCAAAACAAGCCTGTGCAACACACTAGGTTAAGTGTCTCAGGATCTCCAAGTAAATACATAAAAGGCCACAGCGACCCAAACTTTCACATAAAAATACATCAAGTCATTGTATATGTTTGTTTATTTAATATCCATACATATATTTTTAAAATTATATGGCTGCCTATCTTATAGATGATAATCCTAGATGGCTCATAGCAACATTCCATAACAAAAAAATAAATAAACAAACCCCCAAGTCCTGCAAAAGATGTAAGATTTCCCACCAAAGTGCCATAGCATCCTAGGCTAAGAGAATGGGAGCCCTCCAAATTTAATGGGGGAGGCTTTTAAAAAGGACTGGGGCAGCCATGGAAAAGATGTGTCTCCAAGGTCCTACCAGATGACATTTAAGGAATGGGATCTGGGACATGTCCACCCTATCTCATCTGGTAAAATAGGCAGATACCTCCAAGGAGAAGCAACCCTGGTAATCATTTAATGAATGGGCTCCTGGGCAGTCAACAAAAGTAAAAGCATAGTACAGGGGTAGTCAACCTTGGCTCTTTTATGACTCGTGGACTTCAACTCCCAGAATTCCTGAGCCAGCTGAGCCAGCTGGAGTCATAAAAGAGCCAAGGTTGACTACCCCTGGCATAGTACATAGTCCAAATCAATTTTTTTTAAAATCAAGTTAAGGTCCCTATAAAAAGCTCATTGACAGCATGTCACATATCCGCATGCCAGAGTTTTATTAACAATTGGGCCCCAGTACCTGGTGAGAAGTCTTCACAGCCTTTGGAAAACCAACAGATGTGGGGCTGTGCATATCTCTTGGAGAGAGCATGACAAAGAAGCCATGCTTCCTAAAGCACTGCTTCACGGATAGGACCTGGAGCCTCTCCTCTTCTAGATCTGATGGGACAGGAGAAATCATCACAGGTTGTTCTATAAGTAACCCAGCACCATGTCATGTACGAGTTTAAAAGTAACAACCAGCATTTTTAATTATATATAGAAGCCTACCGGGAGTCAGTGCAGCTCACACAGCAGCAGTGATAGATTGGTGGACTGTGATGCACCCAATGTGCTATATGTGGCACTGCAGTTTGGACCAGCTGAAGCTTCCAAAAGCTCTTTAAAAGGGCAGCCCCATATATAGTGTGTTGCAATAGTCCAACTGCAAGATGACTAGGATGCAAGTAATCATGAGCAGTGCCTCCTCACCTCAGAATGGCACACTAGACATATTTGTTTGAAAGCTCTCCTTGTCCAACTGCCCCATTCCAGGAGAATCCCCAGATCATGAACCAACATTGCCTGGCAGAGTATCACCTCATCCAGTCAGTACATTTACTTTCAAGTATCCCTCCTCTGCAAGAAATGATACAGCACAACAGCACAATATTCATTGTACATATTATACTAGTTAACCTGCAGTTATTTTTGCCTTAGTTGCCAAACCTTTGGCTATATTTTGAAGGGAAATGATTTTTCTTTGCTTTAATTGCAACTAAATCTACTTCCTTGATTGATAATGCACATTATCTTTCTTCCACCCAATCTACTTTTGACTCACTAACACAAATATTTAATAGCAGCTTTACCTTTGCCCTCCCTCTTTACTTACAGAAAGCTTGCCAACTCCATACCATGTTACCATATTAGGTCATCTCAAAGTATCTTGGTATATGCAATATTTCACCCCAAAATAACAGCTTAAAAAGATTCCAGTAGGAAGTTGATAGTCAGATGTGCTGTTTTCAAGGGATTTTAAGATTAGGTATCACTGATAATTTGATTAAAAATCTGCCACCAAGGATTATATTTTTCTATGATTAATAAAATTATTTTTCTGTACCATTTTTAAATGCTCAAGAATTGAGTTATTTTGTAAGTCTTGTCTAAATGAGCGTCAGTCACACTGGGTGGCTACAGATCTCCTTTTGAGCCATAAATATGAAATCTATAATTAGCTTGCAACCAATTCCTTATTATTCTTATGAGTTTGTCATTTAAATGATTACCTATAACAATTTAACCATAATAACTTGTTTGCATGCTCAGGTGTTACCTTCATTTATTGCCTAACATAATATAAACATACACATACACTAATCTAAGATTTTGATCATCAGACTGTTCCACTTATTATTTTCTCAATGCTTTAAAACAGTAATGATGATACACTGTTGTATTGCAGCAGTAGTGCTAAAGATGTTCTGATAAACATACTTAAAATAGTACTAATGTTGTAAATGAATATTATTGTCCAATGAATTTTCAATATTTTAAATGTGCACAATTTAATTATATATCAATGTTTCATGTTGTTCCTGAATTCTTTTCATTTCAGTTTTACATGGCTCTGCAGCCAGGTACATACCTGTTTAGTGATGCACTTCAAAGGAAAAATTGTTGATGATTTTGACAGAGAGTTCCGATGTATATATGCCGAATCTAGATCAGTGAATCATCTTGGAATCCCCACTGCTGAAAATTCCACACCTTCTCCTTACAAGATCATGCAGAAACGTGATCCCATTTTAAAACACGTTCAACGGAATGAGTATGAAGCCATCAGTCCACCAAGCACCCTTTCAAATTCCAGCGTCGTGACCATCAAGAAATCACCATATCATAACCAATCAATTTCCAATGTATTCTGTGAAAAGAAGGAATTAACTCCAGGTGAAACAAGAAAAAACACTTCAGGTTTACTGGGACATAATGACTTGAGATACCAGCCCAGGGAGTTGCCAGACTCTAACTGCAGCATATTAGATAAATTAAAGTATCCACTCGGTGATGCTTCTAATTTATTGAAGCTTAAGACATCTTTCCTATCAGTATCTTCACCGATATTAGTTGAGAACATAGGAAATGGACATCTTCCTGAGAATGTGGGAACCAATGATAACAAGAAGTTCCTTTATACTCAACCAATTGAAAATGCAAGCAAACTACATAAGGATGACAAACCAGTAACTCATGGATACAACAAATTAGAATTCATTAACAATCCCACTAAAACTGTAAATTATGAGATAAAGGGCAAAGTTCCTAGATTCCTTGAAGTCTCTGAGGATATGCCAATGGAGAACAACAGCAACATAAATAGGAATGAAAAAAGGTTGACTCTTGGTCACAGCAAATTGGATTTGATTACCAACTATAACAAATCAAAATCAAAAGTAATTCATAGTCGATTTGAAATGTAATCTAACAAAAATATTTGATCTCAAGTCAAATGTGGATTGAAACTATAATAATATATCAGATTTAGCTCAAAAATATTGGGAAAGCTTAAAGAAGCTTAATAAAGCCAGAAAAATAATCACATACTATGTAAGAGATTTAAGATTGTTACTATTTACCTCTAGCGTTAATTTGAAAGGACATACATTTTGAACATTGAAAACATTGTCTGGTACTTTTGCCTCACAGACATAATGAGGATTTCTCATTCCTCATAATTTAGAATTCCTGAAATACTGGAGGGGCATGTTTGGAACAATGCTATTTCTCAGTTTAATAGCTCTGGGGGGGAGAGGGAAAGAACATACAAATTTAAACAATTTGATGAATATCAGTATGTAAATAAAATTGTTATTATATATATATAATGTACAGTACAAACAATTTGGTTTAAAGAGTTGGTAGAGAGGTTATAATGCATCTCTTTGATAAAAGCACACATCTCAATTGCCCACTGTGGATTATTCTGCAATTCTTTTTAAGACAGAACTATAAGAAATCCACATTTACCAAAGTAGCAGAAAATAAAGAACTGCAGAAATCATATTGCATAATTGCTGACTTCCTTTTAATATTGCTGCTCACTCAATTGATCAGTACACCATAGTCAATACAAGAATCCAAATTACAGCCACTCTGACATAGGAAAAAAAGCCCTCAGTTGTTTCCTTCTGTTGCAAGCATGATAGAGATAGGAAAAGACCCATAAAATGCAACTCTTAGTTTAAATCTCAAAACACTAACTATATGAAATTAATAAATGTAATCTCTTTGCCTCAACAAAGAATCTGAAAAAGTGATTTGGCAGGTACAGAAGAAATGTCAATAATGTAATGATTGCATTATATCAGGATAAATAACATAAATAGCATTAACTTTTGTCTTAGAATTTTGGTTACAAACTGGAAAACTAATTAAGATACATTGTGTTAATTTTGTTCACATGATATATGTTTTAAATACATGAATATATATATCATTGTAATTCAAAATAAGTGGTCAATTAGATTTTAATTATCTATTTACACGATCAAAGCCCAGCTCAATTTATTTCCACTCTAATAAGTAACTTCAAACGAAGAAGCATTTTCTGTCCAGTCAAAGTGATATTCTTGGAAGTCCACTGAACTCAAAGATGGTGTTCTTTGAATGCTTAAGTATATGACAGAGTTAAGCATTTTAATTAATTGATCTTACTTTGTATGGAAAAACAAATTGTCACCACTGACATTTGTTATTTCTGAAAATCAAGATTTGATATGCTTCCTGAGGGAGTTTAGTTTAACCAAGATTTTTGAGATTTCATGAAGAAGTCACAAGGAAAGCTATGATTGTTTTAATAATAAATGTAACATTGTTTTAATTTCAAAAACTGGTAGTTCTGTCAATAGCAATTTAATGTATAAATGCCTTAAGAGAAGGACTCCTCTTTCTTTTTTCTTCTCTCTTGCTCTCTTTCTCTCTCTGGTTAATCATAACTTTGACAATGTATAATCTGATGGTGCTTTTGAAATAAACAGTATTCTATAAACCACTATGTTATGATTTGTTTTGTTTAACTATCATCTACCAAATAAAGTGGTAGATATTTTGAGGTAACCCAGCCAGTCCCAAGTCCAGATAAAGCGAGGAGGGTTGAGCGTAGAGTTAGCACTCCTACCCCATAAAACTACAAAATTACTAAAGAAACAGCAAGCAAACGTAAAGTCTGTAGTGATCGTAGCGACTGCAATGACCATGATGATCATAATCAACAACAACAGTATGAAGCTGTCATACCATGGTTTGATAGCATTGGAGCAAAGTTGAAAGGATGTCCAACAGCTGATTCTATATTGATTTTTAGTGCAAAAGTTACAACACAAATTGCAACATGGAAAGTTCGATCTTTATATCTATGTGGGAAACTTGCACAACTACGATCTTCATATTTTCGGCATTAGCTATGCCAGCTGGACTGGGAGTGGTAGACTTACAGAGATGGGAAGATTTCTTGCCACAGTTGTTAAGGGAATCACTGTTGTTAAGTAGTAACATGGTTGTTAAGTGAATCTGGTTTCCCCATTGACTTTGCTTGTCAGAAGATCACAAAAGATGATCACATGAGCCTGGGACACTGCAAACATCATAAATATGAGCCAGTGGCCAAGTGTCTGAATTTTGATCATGTGAAAAACAGTCATAAGTTACTTTTTTCAATGTCGTTGTAACTTTGAATGTTCACTAAATTTGTAAGTTGAGGACTATCTGTACTCTGTGGAAACTTCCAACTTGTGCTATTTCTCTCCAAATTCATTTCTAAAAGCACACCTGCCTCCCAAATTATAAATTCACAGGTAGGGTTCACACTGTGATAAGCCAATTTTTGTTTAATAATAGGGATACTATACTGGGCTGTGAAACTCTAGATCAGTGTTTCTCAACCTTAGTAGTTTTAAGGTGTGTAGTTATAGCAGATGCATCCTTTTGATGCAGACTTTAAAGCATTGCACAGTCCTATTAAATTAGTGACTAGGAAATAATTATATTCATTATAGCAAATTTTAATTAAAGAACATGAACTCAAAACAAATTAGTCCACCCAATAATTTTTGGAGTATGACCGATACATATCAGTCCACATGCAGCTCTTGACCCAAAACAAGTGAACTAAAAGTTGTAAAGCCTAAGGCTATAGTCTGATTAGCATAAATTAATCCACATTTGAAATCAGCTTTCCTTTAGCTTAATGGTTCCTGTCCATTCTTTCCTTTTCCATTATAACTCTTATCAGGAATGAGGTGAATTTTTATTTGCATACAGTGTAAGCCTATTTCCACACAATACATTTATCTTTGATTAGTTCAAATTAAGGGATCACAGGGTAGTAAACAGGGAGTTTTAGTCATATAACCAATGCTGTAAGTCTGCATAACACACTACTTTAACTGATTACTCAGTATAGTGAGCTAAAAAGTATTTGGCTAGTGTGTACTTTAGTGCATCATGCAAACACAACTTCAGTTGTACTATGAGGGTTTACAGTGAAAGTGGACTGTAATACGGTGGATTTCACAAGCCAAAAAAACAACAACAATCCACCAAAATTTCTCTGGTATTTACATCAATGTATATTATTTGCACAATGAAGAAACTTGTGCTAGGAAGGTGCTGCAGATGACTTACTCTTTGATTTAAAGGGGTAATTGGGAATAAAAGACACCCTTCCCTCCAGCTAGATCACTAAACTTACATAAATACAACAACAAACTGTGGAGAGTATGTTTGTAGCCCAAACCTCTCTCCTCAGTTTGGCCAAGGAATGGCTTAGTTAGCACAACACATTTGATCCACAAACTAGTCAAGAAGATTTTAGTTTACTGTTATGCAAACTGAGCAATTCAAATCGAGCAAATGGGTGTCATTCAGTGGATACTACATTATTCTGTCGCATTAGGAACAGCTCAGTAAGTTCCCTTTCTGTTGAATGCAGGTCAAAAAAAGTCCCTATAGCTCATAGAGAGCTTTATATGCCCTCCTTTGCACTGAACTACAATAGTGTTTTTTAAACTTGTTAACTAACCCAAACCAAACATGCTTATAAGGGCCCATTCAGCCACCTTCTCAATGATTGATATGGAGAGTCATGATGGAGACAGAAAATAATGATGTTTTTAAAACTACCGGTATCTCTTTAATTAGTTCCAAGTTCATATTAGTATATTTTACAATGATGAAGTTTCACTTCCAAAACAGTACCTTAGTTTTCACCAGAAACACAGGAGTCACCCTTTGACCAAGCATATGGTTACAAGGTGGTGAGGCACAATCAACTAGAATACAAAAACATTTTCCTATTAATATCATTTTTTCTTCCCCCATCTCATTACTATTTCTGGTACCAGCAATTCTCCTAGCAGAATTCTCTAAAAGGTTATCTGCTTTTCCCATTAAGTGTTAAACATACCTAACACACACACACACACACACACACACACACACACACACACTGACCAATACATAAATATCATTAATCACTATATTGTCGTCTGGGCATATAAATTTAATTTATACACATGCGCGCATACGCACACATACATATCTGTATCTCTCTCTCTCTCTCTCTCTCTGTGTATATATATATATATATATAAATAAAAATGTAAATGTTCATTTGTTCAAAATCTTAAATCTTCGAAAGTTCTTCACCGATTGCTTTGAAATTTTGACACAACGTTGCATTCGAATACGCGCGTTTTTATATACCTACATTGTCACACCTGTGACAGGTAAGAACATGCTTTTTTTGAAAAACAGCGCCATCTGTTGGACGTAAAAGCAACACAAACGTGCGCTTTCCCTTTTCTTTGTTTTCCATTTAACCAGACTGAGCCACAGCAACGCGTGTCCGGGTACAGCTAGTATATATATAAAATGTCAGATATATAAATTGTTGTTTCATACATGTCTATTAAAAATGAGGAAGCTGTGTGGTTAATTCTGGGAAAGATTGAGGGCAACAGAAGAAGGGGACGACAGAGAATGAGGTGGCTGGATGGAGTCACTGAAGCAGTAGGCGTGAGCTTAAATGGACTCCAGAAGATGGTAGAGGACAGGAAGGCCTGGAGCAGTGTTTCTCAACCTTGACAATTTTAAGGCATGTGGACTTCAACTCCCAGAATTCCACAGCCAGCATTGCTGGCTGTGGAATTCTGGGAGTTGAAGTCCACATGCCTTAAAATTGTCAAGGTTGAGAAACACTGGCCTGGAGGAACGTTGTCCACGGGGTCGCGATGGGTCGGACACGACTTCGCAACTAACAACAACGACGTGTCTGTCTGTATCTGAGTGTGCGTGTGATGTCTATGCATATGGTGTGTGTGTGTATATATATATATATGTGATAAAAATCTAATCATCATCATCTTTTTTGGCCGTCTGTCCCCGAAGTCTCTGAGAGGAGTCTCTCCCTCTATGGGTGGAGTAAAAAAGGCCCCACCCTCTTCGCTCTCATCCAGCGGTGCCCGGAGTTTCGCAGTCCAGATCTGCCGCCCTACCTCCCAACCCGGTCAAGATCCCGGGATCGTTTCGCAATTTGGTGGGAGGGATCTTCCGGGAAAGGAGAAAAACGAGAGCCAGCGCCGGGTTGCATTCGTCCAATCAGCATCAAGCTAGGCGGCATGACATCACAAGCGGAATAACGTCACTGTCGGTTTCCGGGCTACGGTCGTGGAGGCCCGTCCTCGTGTCTTGGGCCGTCGACTCCCTTTGCTGCCTTTCCTCCTTCTTTTTGCCGGGTCTTTGACGATTATGGCGGTCCGGGCGAGCTTCGAGAACAACAACGAGATCGGCTGCTTCGCGAAGCTCACCAACGCCTACTGTCTGGTGGCCATCGGAGGCTCCGAGGGCTTCTACAGGTGATGATAGAGAAGCTCGACCTGTTTTCTCTTCCTCTCCTCCGGATCTTAGCCCTGATTTGCTCTGATTGATTATTCGAGAGGCAGTAAGGATCCCGCGTCAGATCGGGACCCTCCTTTGCTGCAGTGCAGCTTCTTCCTTGAGTTGCATTTAAAGAAGAATAAGGGGGAAAGGCTGTAGCGGTCTTCCTTTATACCAGGGGTCCTCAACCTTGGCAACTTTAAGATTTGTGGACTTCAACTCCCAGAATTCCTCAGCCAGCTTTGCGGGCTGAGGAATTCTGGGAGTTGAAGTCCACAAGTCTTAAAGTTGCCAAGGTTGAGGACCCCTGCTTTATACCAATGTTTCTCAACCTTGACCATTTTAAGGCATGTGGACTTCAACTCCCAGAATTCCACAGCCAGCATTGCTGGCTGTGGAATTCTGGGAGTTGAAGTCCACATGCCTTAAAATGGTCAAGGTTGAGAAACACTGCAGTTTATACTGAAAGAGCATGCTTGGGCCCTTTTTCGTTCTGTGATAATTATTTTCAGCGTCTTTTGAGACAGGTTGGGTTGGGCAAAACCAAGCAGACAGAAATGACCCGGTGACACCCATAGTTGAGAGGAGATTTCAATATGGGATTCCCCAACCTCCCTCCAGTACTGACTGCTATATCAGGGATCAGCACCTGTAAAGGTCTGCTCTTTTACTTACGCTATACTGGATACGTGAGGTCACAAGAATTCAGTAAGACTACTACTCTTCAGCTTGTTCCTTTATTAAACTTTTTGAAAATGTAGCTCTTTTAAGTATGTTTGAATTGATCTTCGTGATCTTCCTTGCATATTGAAATCTTACTCGGTTGTGTTTTAGTGTATTTGAAGGGGAGCTTTCTGACACCGTTCCTGTAATTCATGCTTCTATTGCTGGATGTCGAATCATTGGCAGAATGTGTGTAGGTGAGCTGTTCGTATAAATTATTTTGAGTTTTCCTAACTGTAGAAATCTCATCCCATTTTAGCCTTAATATATTTTGACAAGCAGTTTGACTATGTCGTTTGTAATATTTCAGAAAAGGAAGGCAAGCTGCTATTGCACCCTTCATTTATAAAATCCAAATATACTGTTGAGTTCAGTTCATATTTATC